GACTTTTCGTTTTCGGGGCAAGGAAAAATCGTGTGACTGCATATGCCTGTGCTTATTTGCCACAGATCTGATCTTTCTAATTCGTACGATTTAAAGTGTTGATGTTATTTTGAATCGGATTATTTGGCTGCGACTGGATGTTACTAGGGTTCACTGTGTATGGGCCGATACAGGTTTGGGTTGTTGTTTTGGGTGTGGTTGTAACCGCTTTCCTTTACCACATTTTTTATTTTTTGATAATGGTGATTACATTAAAATAGAAGGGAAATACAGCCAAAACAACAGCACGAGGGGTGCCCAAAATCCAAAAGGAACAACATCACAAAAATAGAGCTAAGTCAGCCAGGTGACTCCTGCTGCCCAGAAACAAGAAATCTGCAATACAGAAAAATTCAAAGCTCACTCAAAGCCGCAACATCAAAGTGCGGACATAGGGAAAAAAGTGGCCGAATCAAAACCGAACGTCCAAAGTGATCACGAAGCAACTTAGACCCATGGACATAGTTGATCACCCCGTAGGCTGCAATCCGTTCGCCACCTGCTCACATTGGATTAGGGTTAGACCACTTCTCATACTCTTTTGTAATCTTTATATCTCCTCAAAGTATGGTGAAATTGGCTATTTCATGTCCGTGGACTAGCTAACACACATTGTGTTAGTGAACTACGTCAATCCATGTGTCTTGTGTTTTATTCTTGTCTTTCATATTTTTGCTTTATCGTTACTCCTATATTCTAATCTGCAGAGAAACGGTCGTGATAGAAAGTTATAAGAAGTCAAGCATAACCTGATTGGGTTTCGGAAAGTGTTGCCGTTCATATAGCTTCCTTGAGAGAGATTCTTTCCGGGAAGACTTACGAGGTGGTTGATTTGAATGGTGGACTGGACTGGAATGTGAAAGAGAGTGGATTAGTTTAACTAGGAATTCTACGAGAAGATGGAAATGGAGGCCAAGATTCGTTGTTCTCATTATATTGTGTTTCAAGTAGAGGGAAAGTAAATACTAAGATTGATAATGAGTTGACTTCGTTGGTTAATTAAATCTAGTTGTTATGATCCATGTGAATTTTTAATCGAATCCGCATGGACTTATATGTATTTTTATGGGTTTTGACATAGGTTTGGGTTGGATTTGAATCGAGTGAACTTATTTGAGTCCAATCCATATGGGTTTATTCCGCTCAAGATAATTCTACACACAAAAAAAAAATATATGTCAACTATCTCTTTAACTGTATTCAACTCAATTAGATATTTAATGTTGGTGTTTCAACATTTCTCTTTGTTCCATAACAAAAAAAAAAAAATAAAGCAAAAACTGTATTAGAATCTAATATTCGTTTTCTTTTGGGTACTCAAACTACGACTATAATTTAGACTCAAATTAAAAGGTATCTATTGTCAATATCCAGTTGCTCCCAATAAGTCGAGTTGTTGGGAGAGGTCCCATAGTGGATCATATCATTTACTAACACACCCCTTCAAACGAAAGCCACCGTATATGGGCTTAAAGTTTGCACAGGTACGAACACCATGTGCTTAATAGAAACATATGAGGGTCAGCGAGATTCGAACAGAAGACCTCTCATTCACAGAAGGCTCTTCTGCCATGTCAAGAACCAATTGCTCCCAATAACTCAAGTTGTTGGTAAAGGTTTCACAATTGATCATATGCCAGTTACGAACAACTATAAGTACGCTAACATTCCCAAAATTTGATTTGAGGCATAATAAATTTGATTTGTGTGAGTGAATTTTTTTTACCAGTATATACTACGGAATTACATGACAATTTACATATATGGAGAGTGATATGCATGTCTCATGGGGAATAAGACGAGGAAGATTTTCTAGCATTTTGATTTAAATTCCATTCGTCACATTTAAGCTTCCAAAAAATGTTTTTAAGCAGAAGGGAAAATAAATACTATGTAATTACAATTACATTATCATTCTTACAGTACCGATTAAACCGAACCCTTTTTAAGTAGACAAAAAAGGGCAAGACTCATGTAAAACTCAGTTTTATACAAAGACCCAAACAATTGGCTAAGTCGGCTGGGAATATTCTTCACTCACAAGTCACAAAGAAAACAGAATCGTAGAGATGGATTGATCTCTAACACAAGAAAGGACTTCTTGTTGCGGCGGATTAATTGATCTGTTGAGAAATTTTATAATGATATATAGTATTGGTGCTATAGATTTTTGCCTTTATGGTACAACTTAAACTTGTACATTTACGTTATGGTAAAACTTTAGATTATACCTATACTTTTTGTACAAATTCTTTTATGGTACAACTTGAACTTGTAACTTTATGTCATGGTACAACTTCAAGTTGTAAAGTTGTACTATAACATAATGGTATAAATTGCTTTATGGTACAACCTAAACTTATACATTTAATGTTATGGTACAACTTTAAGTTGTACATTAAAACATCAATACTATATAGCATAGTAGAAGTGCTCTTATCTGTTAGGTGATGTTTAATCTTGTTTAGGAAATTAATTAGGCGACAAGCCGAAGGGCATCGTAACGGCCGCCATTTCCCGACCTTGCTTGCTCTTCCTCTAATTTGCCCATTGCATCTTCAAAATTTCAGCCTAACTTCTATTTATTAGTTTTGCCCTTTCCTCTCTATACCTTTTTTCCTGCATATAGGAATCGGACTACTATACAATTCCCAGAAAAAGGAAAAAAGATTTCACAATCCTAATTCACAAGCAACGATTGTGCATTGCTGTGAAACGTACACAAATCTTGCTAACCATTTAATCATGAATCAGGATAAGACGTCTTAACCCAATTAAACATGCATGCATGACGCATCAGAGTACAATCATGTCTGTCATCAATGATCTCTGTTTGTCTACTGTTTCGTAATACATGTTCATTATTTGCATATATATAAATGCTCACAACCATTAACCTTCCATCTTCTCCACCGCTTAATTATCCACCTACTTATATGAAATGTAATGTTTTGAATTTTCAAACTCCAACGAGTCAAATCAGATGTCTATTTTTTTTTTACTTTGATACATTTTAGTGCTTTTGGATCGATTGACGTCTTATAGGAACTAACATCATTTAAGTTTTGTTGCGAGTTCAGATATGAACATGATCTCTAATGAGTGAAAGATTGTTCGACCAAGTTAGGGTCATAATATATATTTAGGGGTTAAAGTACCTACCATAATGATGATCAAGATTAAATGATCAATTATTACATTCTACTTTTTTTAGTCGACTTGTATCTCCTTTATTTTAAAGTTTGAAAACTTTTGTACAAAAGAAACGAGATCATTGTAACTTATTAAATTATATAAAATTTTGATATCTTTCATTTTTTAGACCATCCTTTATTTCCCTCATTTGAACTCTTATTTTGAGAACATTTGCATAAAAGTAACAAGTCCATTATAATATGCAAAATTATATTTATTCTCAATATATTTGGGATAAAAAAATTCAGTCCAATTATATCACTCTATAATAGTGGTATGATATTCATTGATAGTTAATATATTCTTATGTTATATATACCACCTATCTACACTATGGTACATTCTACCACCATTGTACCGCCATAATATATTGTTGTAGAAAGTGTCTCGATTGACGTTTTATTTTTCTGTTTCAAAATATATAAATGTATATGTTACTTTGTAAAGTATAGTTAATATGATTTTTTTATGAACAAAATTTGAGTGAAAAAGAATGAGCTAAATATGTTGTATTTTAATAAGAGAAAGATTATGGCTCGTTGCATAACCCAAATGTTACTGACCCGATTTAGTGATGTCAATGGGGTGGGGCGAGTATTTCAATACTCATATCCACGAGTAATACTCGCGCGGATATGAGGCGGGGCGAGTCGATCTACTCTTACATGCTATTTGAAAAAATACACGCAAAATTTTACTTTTTATGATAAAACGAAGGGAAAATACTTTATGAATGAAAATTGTGATAATATAATATATAATTGAGTCTAACTAGTTGAAAGATCAAATCTAACTAGTTGAAAAAATCAAAATATATAGGAGAAATATGAATAGATATTGAAAGAAATTGATGTAGAATGGGCTATGAACGGGGCGGAGTAGATGTCCATGTCCTGCCCCACTTTTTTTGGTGAGAATGTCCCGTCCCACTCTAGTGTTGGTCGAGTAATACAACAAAACATAGCAGGTCAAATCGAATAATACCCAACGAGACGAATTCAAATTGTCATTCCTAACCCAACGCTAGAAGTTAAAATTTTGTGGCTTATATCAGTCTATGTATTTGATAAAAATTTATAGCCCTAACCTCTTCCAACTTTGAGAATGATACAACTTTGATATGTGTATATTGTTGAAAAAATAAAACTAACTATATTTGCCTGTCAAGTTCCCCTTCCATTATGAACTTCACTGCATTCATAAATTCCCGCCCAAAATTCGATCATCCAACTACACGTACCCAAATGACAAACCGCCCATTTATGGATGGTACTTGTATAGGGAGGCCATGGGTTGCCACACAACCACATATCTTCCCCCACCCACCAAAAACATAAAAATAATTCACATAATATAATTCATAATCAACGATAAGGGCTCACGTATGTCTGGTGTATGTTATAAACTTATACGCTTGCGTCCATATTTAAGATATATTCCGAATAATTGGAACCACCGATTATTATTTTTATATTAAATGAATTTTATAGTTTGAGTTGAAAAATTAAAAACTGAAGTTCACCCATTAAAAATTATAATATAATATTCTGTATCAAATTTTGATTAAGTCACTATCTAAATGAAAGAAAAATACTCCACATAAGTGTATAATAAGATGACGTACGCTAATCTGAACGCATAATAAACCCATTTTCATTCTCTAAGTCTCAACCCAACAACAACAAAAATCCCGTCACCCTATAAAACCACCACTACCCAAACCACCATCTTGTCCTCTATTCGACCACCACAATTAACCCTCCGCCATGCCTCCTCCGACCTCCGCCGCCACCCTCCAATGGCTAAGCCTGGTGGCAATAATCTGGCTCCAATCCGTCAACGGCACCAACACCACTTTCCCCGCCTACTCCTCCCAACTCAAAAACCTCCTCTCCCTCTCCCAACTCCAGCTCAACAACCTCGCTTTCGCCTCCGACGCCGGCAAGCTCTTCGGCTTCATCTCCGGCGTCGCCGCCCTCCACCTCCCCCTCCCCCTCGTCCTCCTCGCCGGCTCCCTCCTCGGCCTCGCTGGCTACGGCACCCAGTACCTCTTCCTCACCGGCACGTTCATCACCTCCCTCTCCTACCCACAAATCTTCCTCCTCACCGTCCTCGCCGGCAACAGCATCTGCTGGATCAACACCGTCTGCTACGTCGTCGCCGTCCGCAACTTCCCCGCCGGACACCAGCCCCTCGCCGTCGGCCTCTCCACTGCCTACCAGGGCCTCAGCGCCAAGATCTACACCGTCTTCGCCGCCGCCGTTTTCCCACGTTCGAAAAACCCCGCCGAGGCCTACTTGCTCCTCAGCTCCCTACTCCCCCTCCTCGTCACGACGTTCACCGCTCCACTCCTCCGGAACGGAGGAGCGGAGTGGGGCCCAGTCGAAATGGGACGAGGAGGCGTGGTGGCTATGTTCCTCGTGACCATAGCCACCGGTGTCTACTCAGTCATCAGCAGTTTGTCTTTCATCACCAGAACGATGTCGCCCTCGAGAGGCGCGATCGGGATATCCGCATTCCTTCTGGCGCCGCTGGCCGTACCGGTCGCAATAAAGCTATGGGAACGGCATGTGGCAGGTAAATTTACATATAAATTTGTAACAAGTTTGGAAAATAGAGTAGGTGGTAAACCGTTAGCTTCTATCCTCTCTCTCCAGTTCAAATCTCTTGAACGTAAAAGTTTAATCTCTCATTAAATTTCTGACTCCGCTACTGCAGGTAAGAAGAAGGGCAGTACGAGGATCCACACAATGAACTACGTGGAGGAGATCGAGAACGGCGTCGTGGAAGGTGGTGGTGAGACGAAGTTGCCGATGGAGACGGCGGTTGCTACGATTAGTGACGAGGGCAAAAGTTGTGGTGACGTCAGTGGTGACGAGAAGGAGGGATTCGTGGGGGTGGGAGTGATGGTGAAGAGAGTGGAGTTTTGGGTGTATTTCGGGGCGTATCTGTGTGGGCCCACGATTGGGCTGGTTTTCTTGAACAACTTGGGCCAGATCGCGGAGTCGCGTGGGGAGGTCCGGACGTCGTCTTTGGTCGCGTTGTCTTCTTCGTTCGGGTTCTTCGGTCGTCTCGTTCCGTCGTTTCTTGACTACTTTCTGGCCAGGTTAGTTCAATGTTGCTTTCACGAGATACGTCGTCGTTTGGTATTTATAATATATGAGTGTTTAACTCTTTATTGACTTTCTCTACTGCAAATTTAATTATTCTTTTTAATGGATTCCTTGCCACACAATGTGTTGCAATAAAAGCCCTAGTTATAGCGACCTTCTATACACCAAGAAATTCCAAACCAATGCAATTGTGCGGCTTCAAATGTGACTCGTTGATTCTTGATTTGTTTAATTTCGATGAATATTTGATACTTTTTAGCCATAATTTATTTCATAAAATTGAATTAATAACGAATATTCCATCAATTTCTCAATTGGTTGAATTCAAGTTATGCCTAGTTAATCTTGGAATTTATTCATGTCTATCATAAAGTGCGTTTGATCTATAAATACGCGTAAGAAAAGGTCTAATAAATGATAGTCATCAATGAAACTAAAACCAACCTTTATACAAACTATATATGCAATAGTATCATTGAGATGTCAAAGGAAATTTGAAGTACTTAGCCCGACATAAAAACATACTCACCTGATTCAGATAAACACCCGAAAGTGATTCTAACTAGTTGTACGAAATCGGATCTGTTGGTTGTACATCTGGTACGTTTATTTTTAGTTTAATGCATTTTCACCCTTTATAAAATAAACTAGTTGTACTATAAGCCATATGTAACATCAATGTGTCTGTTTAGAATTTTTGTGAAATCTCATTTCATTTTGGAGTCTTAAAACAACGAGTTTGAATACTCTGTAAATTTTTTGCTTGCTTTCTGCCTCCTTTAATTAGTAATATATAGTTGTACATCTCTTTCTTTAGAACATAACTCATATTTCCCTATTCATGGCATGCCCCACTTTGTAGCTACAAATATCAGCCACATGTATACGCATGTCCTACGAAACATAACATATACGGTTTTCCATGTCCCTATAATATATGTTGTCTGAATCAAGGATCACCAATTCACCATTAAATGCCTTCTCCAGCTTGCTTCTCCCCTTTCATTAACTTCTTAAACCCTACCAAAAAAAACTTCTTAAACCCTACCAACACTCTTGTTTAAACCTAACACTAACATTTGTGCGGTCGAACAATATTCATGGGGCGCAGGAGTAGGTGCAAGATGATATCAAGGCCAGCGTCCATAGCGGCATTGATGGCGCCGATGGCAGCAGCTTTCTTCCTCCTCGTCATCAACACCACCGCCTCCTTCAACCACGTCGCCCTCTACGTCAGCACCGCCGTTATCGGCGTCTGTACGGGCGCCATTACTTCCATCTCCGTTTCGACGACGTCCGACCTCTTCGGGACGGCCAACTTCAGCCTCAACCACAACATCGTCGTGGCAAACATCCCGCTGGGATCCTTCGCGTTCGGGTACTTGGCCGCGTTCTTTTACCACCGGGAAGGCGGCGGCGGCGGGAAGTGCATGGGGATGTTGTGTTATAGAGATACTTTCGTGATATGGGGGTCGCTTTGTGGGTTTGGGACGTTGCTTGCTCTCGTGCTTCATGCTCGGACCAGGAAGTTGTATTCCCAAACGGTTTTGGCTACTTGATTCAAGTGTATACATACGGTAGCGTATAGCCGTATAGATATATAGTATAGTTGATGAAGGTTATACATAGCTAGGTCACTTGCATGATAGTTGATACAAGACAAAAGTAGAGCTAGGTCTATATATAGTGGCAACCAAATGACATATTATATATATTGTTAATTGATCAAGTTGACCATTGCATATCTTAGTTTTGTTTTCTATTTCTAATTTTATGTATCGTATCACTTTAACAAACACATTATTATTTGTACTATTAAAGGATGACAAAAATGTTACTCTAATTTACCTGCTTTGTTAATTTTTTAATCATACATTAAGGTCTCGTTTGCTTGTGGGATTTGGGTGATGGATTCGGTACTCAAATCACACTCATCAAGGACTTGATACAAATCCATTGTTTGTGAAGGGATACAAATTCATGGAGCCCACGGATTTGGACCCTTTTTTTAGATCAAAATCTGTGGACCCCACAGATTTGCAAATCCCACATTTTATTTGGAATTTAACAATGAAAGACAAAGTTGTGAGACAAATCCATCATAAATTCATGATAAAAATTAGCTAAACAAATAATGTACTCTTCCAAATCCATAATGAAACAAATCCATCATAAATTCAAAGGTTTTTAAAACTCAAAAACCTTATTTTCAAATCCAACAAACAAACGAGTCCTAAGTTTTATTAATATTCGTTATAATTAGAATGGAACGTCATGCTTAATTGGTAAGTACAATTCAAATGGCTGATATTGCGACTTAATGTATATGTTGGACATTTGTTGTCACATGTAATCCAATTTTTAAATCCTTGCATGTATTTCCTAATGGTTAAGATGCATATGTTAATTGGCCTATAGACAAATTGATGACGAACATAGGGAGGACGAAGAAATGTTTGACGTGGAATGCAAGACTTATAACTAATGTTGAATGATAGTCAGAGACGCCTTAATCATCCATCATATTCAACAGTCGATGCGCAACTTTCATGAGGTTAGGGTAGTGTATATCTACAGAAAACAACATTATGTGGCTGGCTTCCTAGCCAACAACGAACAAACAATCACGACATGCGATTTCATTTTTTTTAACTGAACCTGTGTATGGTCATTAGTTATTTCGCGATGTATTGCGTCCTGCCTACTAAGCATGAAATTTACCCTATTTGTAAGTTGTAACCAATTTGGACAAGAAATACACAATCTAGAAATGGATAAGTGATACACGATACACGGATGTGTTCGTTAAAACTAATGAAAGGATGTGTACCTAATACAATTTCTGTAGTACAGACAAAGGACTTGAAAATTGTCCATCTTAATTAAGTGACAAAAAGTGAATTAGGTGGAAATTCGGTATGCATGCCAAAATGCCACCGAGTGAGTCATGGGAGCGTTCAAGTGTCAAGGCAAAGGGGTCAGTGTTCTTAATAGCACAGGTCTGCGACCGTCCATGCCCACAAAATTAACACTCAACTGCTGCTGTCTCTATCAAATGGAATTGGTATAGAAGTAGCTTACGCTTCTCCTCTATCTTCCACATGAGTAGCAGCATCACAACTGCAAAAATTCGCTTGGGCGGCCATAAGTCTAATCACAGTTAAAACCCGGGCATGCCAGAACTCCTGAAATGCTGCACACCAATAGCACATGTAAGAGTTATGAAGCGTACCAGAGCAGAATCACAATGGCACTTCGTGTGAAATAACCGTGTCTAGCAGAAGGAAAGGAAATGCTGACATTCACAAGACCCTTTCCCCGGTTCTGGAAAAGAACAATTCAGGACCAGAATGACTGCAAATCAAGCTCACGAATTCGAAGAGTAAGGAAAGCAGTGCAATTACCAATTGGGTTTACAAGTTCTCAGAACCAATGCTGGGTCTACCGGGATAGCTCTCCTTCCATGCCTTCCAGGCGCTCCTAACTTGATCTAATTCTGCATCGGGGATAGGCGTGTGTTCATCCAGCTTCTCCACCCATTCCAGCCAAGGGGACCTAGATGGATCCAAAAACTGAGACACTTGGGGCAACATTTTGCTAATGTAGAATTCATCGACTCCCCTTTGAATTTCTTCTGATTCGGCCAATGCCTGCATCTCGGGCCGTGTCCCTTCTCGAGCTTTTCTCTTCAGCGAGTAATTGCTTCCCCTCAAAATCAGAACTTCTGAAGGAGCAAGCGGCAGTACAATCCTTGAAAATTTTGCCAGTGACAATGTTAAGATGTCCTTTGGGAGCAGCCCACGTTTTACTGCTACTGCAGTTCCAACCATTTTCCGGATCTGATGAAAAAGCATAACAAATGAGAATTGGTCTTCTAATTTTATGAAACTCATTTTATAAATGTAGCTCTGAACGACATGCTTAATTACCTGGTGAAGCATGAATGACTCCCCCCATATAGAAATCTCAACAAAGTCATGTCCAGATGATTTCTCCAGCTCTCCGCATGAACAGTGAATAATCCTTCTGAAGTGTGGAGCACCTATTCTGTCTCTCACATCCGGTTCGTGTAGCCATCTTGCACGGACAGCAACACTTGAGCTTTGATCCTTCAACGGATCACCACTTTGATCAGTAACTGCTTCAGAGTGATCTAAAGGAACATTGCCATCAACGGGTAGCATTTCTTCTTCTTCATCATCGCTCTCCTGGTCACTATCGGAGGCTAGCATCTGAATAGATGATCGGTCTCCTTCTGAGAAATGGCCAATTTTTTCAGGAGGTCTGCTTCGACGACTTTTTCTCCTGTATTTTGCCCGGACCGTATAGTTATGAAAAGGATGATCTCCCTACAAAGAGCATCCAAAACTATAACACAGTCAACTTCTATCACAACTCCAATCATCCTTCGAATCTATTATCCAATTACAAGATGGTTTAAATAAGTTCTCATGGGAGAACCACTCCATTAGGTTTTGCACGGATGAGTTCATATTTCAGAAAGAAGTAACACAATAGGGACTAGAAACAGCAAAAAGGAAAAGAGAAATGCTACCTCAAAGGTATTTAGCATCTTCCTGAAGTCTGCTATGTGCTCATTAATTTCAGCCATAGCAGATAAGCTTTTGATACCAATAATCTCAGCGGGAAGAAGGTACGAATATTTCCTCAAATCACACTCCATTCTAGGATCAAAGCTTCTGCGTGAATGTATCATGAATCAGAGTGCTGTATTATGTAACCGAAACGGCATAACTGTTGAAAGAATCAGAGTGCTGTAACAAGAAGCCATTCTCAAACATTAAAATCAACACACAATCCAATTATGAAGATCAGCACTGTAAGAAAACAGCTAAAGGACTAACTTCTGAGCAGGTAGAATGCTGAAAATTCTGATACTGTCTGGAAGATTAGAGTTAACCGTCCTAGCAAGAACAATGCCATAAGGATCCTCCTTCCATGCATTCTCTGGTATCTCCAGTTTCATCGAAATTGTTGTAGCCAACGAATGGACCTAATTCAGCAACAAAAGCAAAATTATTGGATGAACATATCATGAGGCAAAATGAAATAGTTGGCCAAACAAACTAAACGAAAGTGAAAATGCCAAGAAAGCAGTTTATTCATAAAGCTCACTCCTTTATCTGTGCGGCTGCTTCGAGCCCATCCAATTTTGCTTAAATGCCCATAATTGCTCTCACGAATCCCGCCAGCTTTAAATATGGCATCTTCCAGCTCTGATTCAATGGCTACAAAACCAAAAATCCCCATAAACATTCATCTTTTTTAAAAAAAAATATGAGCTGGAGCTTTCTTAAGTTGGAATTGAAGACACTATGCATTAGTGATTCCACAAAAGACTCGGTAGAACTCACTAGACAATGAATGCTCATCGTATTGCTTCTGGAGACCTCTGTAATTGGTACCAACATAGCCCACTCGCAGAACAACCTTCTTCTTACGGAAAGGTTCCCACTTTTCAGCGGAGGAATGGTGGTCCTGACTTGGGCTTGACACAGTATGAACATGAGTAGCAGCTAACGGGGACAAATTGGAACAGTAGCAGCATACTGAGGCAAGTGAACTACGTTTGGATGGCAATGCTACTGGTGGGAGTTTAACGGAGCTCTGGTAAGTCTTGACAAGCCATGGGGACAGCGAGTATCGCATGGAAAGCATACTTCCAGGAAATGTAGATGCAACTCCGCCTGTTGAACAAACTGCACCATAAGGGTAAAGGAAACAGTTAAGAGCAGTCTCCAGAAGGGACTAACACACTAAACTACCAATCACTGAGCCACGACTCGATTCACTGGCTAACAGTTGTGAACTCCTGAATCTAGTTCTGCTAGTCCCTAAGCAATCAGTAGCAGGCGAATGAACATTGAACACCAGCTCTGTCAAGCATTTCATCAAACACCTGGTGTACAGATTCAGAGCTCCATACTGGCAAAGTTACACAGACCAGCGGCAGAAAAAAGAAGACTACATGGAAGCAGAAGAAGAATGAGACTTGGCAGAAATTTACCGGTCGCCAGTTGCGAGCTTCACTTTCGCTATCCGGAGACTGAAGAAGCAGAGCAGACGATAAAGCGCTCCCGGCGAGATGGAGAAAGAAAGAATTCCGAGATCGCAGTCCACGAGTGCAAAATGGTCCAAGACGGTGCCGTTTACCGGTTCTGTCGTCGTTGCCATTTTCTACCTTGTTGCCCGGCGGGCCCATCTCAACAACTTTTATTTAAGGGCTAATACCACTAGGAAACCCGAACTATTAACTTTGTGTCATTTGTGTCCTAAAGTATTCGATACGACATTTGTGTCCTAAACTATTTTTCCGTTAGAGTTGACTAGCGTTGACCGTTAGTTTTTAACAGAAAGTCTAGTCAGCGCTGATGTGGCATCTGATGTGGAAATTTAATGTTAATTTTAATATTTTTTTTCCATATAATAAAAATTTTAAATACAAAAATAAAAAACAAAAAAATTACAACTCTCTCGTCCCCTTCTCCTCCCGTCCGCTGCTTCTTCGTCTCCTCTCTTCCTTATTTCCGCCGCCGTCTATATCCAGTCTGAAAAATCCTCCCTGAAACCCAATCCTCAAGCTCTGCATCCGTCCATTTCTTCTCCACTAACCCACGAAGTAGAGTGTCGTAATCGCTACAACAGCGGCTAGATTTCAATCACTTCCCTCACTGCCGTCGTCATGAGATTCCGCCTTCATAAACCCGTCCCCGTCGCCAGATCCATAAATCGATTGGTGTTTTCTGGGTGGCTAGAAGTGAGTTGGGTTCGGATTGTGTTTTCTGGGTGGCTAGAAGTGAGTGAGATCGAAGCAGATGAAAAAGAAAGGGAAAAAAGCCGGAGGAGACTCAGCTCATCGTCGTCATCATCCTCCCCCATCGATGTTCTTCCGGTCGCGGCTGACTCAGCTCACCGGCATCATCATCCTCCCCCATCGACTTCTCCGTCGGAAGGAGACTCAAGCTTCCCTCTCCCCCTCCGCAACCGCAGGCGTCTCTTCAACTCCCCCATATCCAAATCGAGAACGCGGGAAGGTAAATCTAGATCGCAAACCCTAGATCGTTATCCCTTCATCCGACCCCTGGCCTTTCTCCGCCTTCTCCTTCTCCTCTTATAATCCCCTGCCACCACCGCGCTTTGCTTACTCTGTTCTCAATTTCGTTTTCGTTTTCGATTTCCCTCATCTGGATCTGTTCGGTGGCGGGGCGGCGAAGAAGGGGAGGGTGGCGGTTATGGTGATGGTGGACGACCTGCAGCCGGAGAGCCAACACCCAACGAGCCTCGCTCAGGCGTAGGAGCTCATGAAGAAAATCTCAGCGTCGGCGTTTGGGTTGGTGGCCTAGGGGTTCTGGTCTATCTCGTGCTCGATGACCAGCTGGTGCGACGGGATAGAGAACTTCTCTATTCCATCTGCGGCGGCGCTGGTGACAATGTCGGTGGTGGAGGCGACATCGAACTTCTGGATTTGGAGGTAAGGCGACGGGGAGGCGAAGAATTGATTGTTTGACAGCGGCGGGCGGGGATTGATTGTTCGACAGTGGCGGCCGGAATTGATTGTTTGAGAGCATTCTTGTTTGACAATGACGAAGAGAGCATTCAAGCGGCGGGGATTTATGGGCTAGGCACAGGAGAATTTTTTTATTGCATTGATTTTTTTTAATTTTAGTATTTATTTAATTGTTCGGATTGATTGCTTAGGTGAGTTTATATATATATATATTTTTTTAGTTTTTTCAATTTTAGTATTTATTTAATTTTTAATTAAAAATATGAGGTGTCACTGACATGGCATCTACGTGGCTGCCACGTGTTTACCACGTCAGCAAAAGTCAACATCAAGTTGACCACCGTCTGGTCAACCGTTATATATAACGGTCAACAAAATCGTCAGGACATAAATGACACAAAACTATAATAGTTTGGGACACAATTGTCGTATCGAATACTTTAGGACACAAATGGCACAAAGTTAATAGTTCGGGTTTCCCAGTGGTATTAGCCCTTTATTTAATTTTAGCATTACTTTTTGTTTTTGTTTTTGTTTTTGTTTTGCATAGTGTATATGCTGTCTTTCTATCTCCAATTTGTCTCGTCAGATTTTATCTTCTCCTCCTTCCTTCCCAATCCTCGCTCAGTGTATCCTTAGTTAAACCCTACAAATCTCACAGAGGAGAGCCCCTCTTACAAATCTGGAAATCTTCATATCCGCTAATCTCCGGAGGGATTGAAGGAGCTTCGCGGCGGCGGCGATAATGAATCCCGCTATGTTATCCGTCACTCCGTCTTCTTCCTCTTCTGCCTCCACGCCGGCGCTGTTCTCACCTTTCATCAACCCTTCGCCTCTCCGTCTCACGCCCTCGTCTCTCTCCCTCCCCTCCCGCCGGCGTGTCAGAGTATCCGTCCCTCGTAACTCAGCCGATGTATCGCCGCCCGATGACTCGGCTGCTTCAGCTGCACCGCCCGCCACCACCACCAGTGTTTTCGGAGAGAGGAAGGAGTTGACCGGGATTCAGCCCTTGGTGGATGGCCTTTCTCCGCCGCTCAGGTTGGCTAGTTCCGCCGTAATTCTGGCTGGAGCTGTTGCGGCCGGGTATGGTTTGGGGCTGCGATTCGGCGGGAACCGCAATTTGGCTCTGGGTGGGGCGGCTGCTATGGGCGCTGCCGGTGGAGCCATGGTATACGCGTTGAATGCTGCCGTTCCGGAGGTTGCAGCCGCTAGTTTGCATAATTATGTTGCCGGTTTCGATGATCCCGGAGCTGTTAAGAAGGAGGAAATTGAACAGATTGCCAAAAAGTCGGTTCCTTCCTGTTGTGATTTTCACAGTTATTTGCATTTCCTGATTATCCTGCTATGGCATTTATTTGAGGCGATGAAACTCGCGTTCCCTTCATTCTTTAGCTTACCTTCGTCGGCTTTGGCAAGTTTTGAATTTTGGGGTTTCATTGTTTGAAATTTCAGATATGGTGTGAGCAAAACAGATCAAGTGTTCAGTGCAGAACTTGCAGAATTGTACTGCCGGTGAGTTCATATAGTCTGTCCAGGACGAACATTGTTGTTTCTAAGTCTTAAGCTGGTTTCACTTTGACCAATGCATTGAACGCTTGTCTCTTCTAGATTTGTTTCCTCTGTTCTACCTCCTGGGAGTGAAGACCTTAAAGGCAATGAAGTTGAAACGATAATCAACTTCAAGAATGCTTTGGGGATTGACGATCCTGATGCAGCTGCTATGCACATGGAGGTACTGCATCATCACGCAATGGTTTTCATCATTGATAGAAATAGCGGATATGTTGAAGATTAGAGTTTGTGCATCTTAGGGAGCTTTGGATTAACGTGTCATTATGATTCTTGGCCTATAGATCGGTAGGCGCATTTTCAGGCAAAGGCTTGAAACTGGTGACCGTGATGGAGACGTTGAGCAACGCCGGGTAAGTTATTAGTAAGTGTTTTACGCTTTTTTGTAGTTTAAATGTACTTGTGCTTTATCTGTTTTCCCTCAAATTGATGTATGGTGCTTGATCATTTTGTACTAATTTTCCAGTGCAGGCATTTCAGAAGTTGGTCTATGTTTCATCTCTTGTTTTTGGGCAAGCATCGTCCTTCCTTTTACCTTGGAAGAGGGTGTTCAAGGTCACTGATTCACAGGTATTGGCTCATTCTTGGTTACTGGTTTAAGTATGCATTGCATTTTGGATATATGGTTAATGTCTGGATGTCATCATCGCATAGTTTTTGTTATTTTAATATGTTATTTTTGGCGGATGTTTTTATTTATGTTATTGTTTCCTTGATTTGTTGCAACATTATCACTGTTTTATGCTTTTTCCAGGTTGAAATTTCTATCCGTGATAATGCCCAGAGATTGTATGCTTCGAAGCTAAAATCAGTTGGTAGAGGTAATTGCAACAATTGTTTCGAGTCTCTACAGTACTTGTTTCATGCTTTTGTTTCCTCATTTTCATTGCAACTATTTAGTGAGGTTCTCAACATTGATCTGTTTGTATGTTGTCCAATTATGTATGTCCGTTTCAGTTGTCCACTAGATTAAGATATATCTACCAATCAATTGGGGATCAGTTTATGTAGAAGGAAAAATGTGCTATTTCTTATTGAAGCAAGGATAAAATCCTGAATTGTCAAAAAAAAAAAAAAAAAAAAAAGGATAAAATCCTGCCTGGTTTATCACAAACTGAATTAATGCTCTCCTGAATGGAGCAAATTGCGTGCTTAGATGCTCTTCATGCTCATTTTGAAGAATATTCTTTAGCTTCTGCTGTTCTGAAGTACTTGTACACTTTTAATGGGAAACTACTATAGATTTTGACCTCATTTGGATTGCTTGCTTGTGCCATTATCTTACTGAAATGTTCAGGCGTTGGGCTTGTTGTCCCTTGTTGTGCTTGAAGAGGGAACTCACATGTTTTGTTTAAGGAATACAGATATTAGGGCATATGCTTATCCAAATGGAAAGTTAATTTAAGGGACTGTGAATGATTTTCGATCTACGCTTCAGTTTGTTGAAAATATGTTTGGATTGTTGCTGGCAGTTGCCTTTTGTTAGCAACTGTGTGCTTGTTTCTTATCTTCATCTTCATCTTGGACTTTAGACATTTGAGCAGTTTCAGGATTAATATGTTTCTCTTTTCCTCTCTTCCCTTTTTCAGATATTGATGCAGAGCAGCTCGTGAACCTCAGAGAATCACAACTTTCATACAAACTATCTGACGAGGTACTTTTACAGATTGTCTGTGTTTCTTGTGATCAGCAAACTTTTATTCATACAATGTTATGTTTCATACAGCTGGCTGAGGACTTATTCCGGAACCATACAAGGAAGCTGATCGAAGGAAACATATCTGTTGCACTTGATATTCTGAAGACTAGAACAAAAGCAGCGTAAGATCAAAATCATCCAACTTAAATGTTAGCACGTTTCAGTTTGGCTCCAAAAGTTACTGGTGTATGGATTTTCCAATATCTGATAGTATTTCAAATATTTTAACCAACTATTTCCATCTTTATCACGATGGAAGTAATACATTAAGTTTCTGCTTAACTAAATAACAGTGAATGTTATTTTACAGCACTGGATTGAAGCAAGTAGTGGAAGAAATTGATGTCATTCTGGCATTCAATGA